AGATTTTGTTGGGCTTTAAACGCCATTTCTCCATTCCTGATGATGTCCGTCTGTTGCTTGTGGCAAACGACACTCTTCATATGGAGAGGGAGGACGAAACGCGATTGTCTTTCCTCTTTTGTCAATCGCAGAGGGTGGAGTCCGTTTCCCCCTTCACTCGTTTCTTAGGATTGTGCTTCGCCATTGGGTTTAATGTGAAAATTGGGCCGAGCTATGAGATGGACATTATGGCCCAAAGTACGAAGGGCTGGGTAAAAAGGCTGTAAGATTACTCCGGCCCAAGAGAGGTAAAAGATTACTCCGGCCTAGAAGAAATGTAAAGTTACTTCGGTCCGGATGCAACTTGGAGTTAGGACTGTCTCAGAGTTAGTCCGGTCATAACGTATTGTGGTTAGAATGGTCAGAACCTTGTTACTCGGTAGCTCGGTCTAAACACACCATAGTTTATGCATGGGAGCACCGAGATAAGGAGGAGTAAAAGGAAGAACCGAACTAAGGATAGTTCGGCTTATTCTGTGGCTCAGCATAGCCAGTTTTATTTCGGTCATGTTGTAGTTCGGCCATGGTAAAAACCATCTCACTTGGTTTAAGCAGTGAGGGGGTGTTGAAGGATAAGCATTATCTTTCAGGAGTATGAATCCTAGGAGGACTTTGCATGGAGGAGTAGAAGTCCTACTATGGTTGTGCCACACGAAACCTATAAAAGCTCACAAACATCACCTTGGGAGAGGTAACACACAACTTTGCTTTCTGAATACACAGAGCTTTGTCTATTTGTCAAGTTTGCTGACTTAGGCATCGGAGAGGTTTCCGGCACACACCCGCCGGCTAGCTCACGTTTGTGTTTTCAAGTGACAAGATGACGTCGTACGGCGGAGCACAGACTTGGTCAACAGGATTATACGAAAAAGTTTATTTCTTTCCCGTACAGTACCTATCTTTCTTTATTATGTAGTAATAACAAATTAATAATCCAATTAATTGAAACATTATTTCGTTCCTTAAAAACCTTCCCTTGTTATATGACTAGTTGGTAAATTTTGGGATAAGTTGATGAGTCTCGATCTTGTATTTTTTAATTTATTTGCCATTTGTTTTTATTATTCTCATAATTTATTTCCTTTTTTCTCTCTACAGTACCAAAACAAGGGGTATATATATACATACACACAAGTCCTGTCTAGTACAAAAAATTATCTCCAGGGAGGAAGCTTCCTCGAAGCTGCCATGGCCACACTTTCTCTCCCTCCATTTAACCACTTCATCTCCCTCCCTATTTCCCTGAATTTCCTTCTCTCCTCTCTTTCTCTCTCTCCTCTTCTTTCTCTCTCTTCCTTTTCCCATGTCAGCGATGAAAATCATGAACAAATTCACTCCCAAACAACTCTTCCGGCTCAAGAAAACCCGGTCCGTCACCCGGGCCGACCCATCTTCCTACAGCTCCGGTTCATCCTCTTCCGACTCAACCGATTCCTCGTCGATCCACAAGCCCCATCTCCGAAAATCGACTCCCAACGGTCACTGAATGGTAATAGTGGCTTACCGCAACAGAGCCATCCCCAGCCGCAGCACGTGATCCGGCAACTGCTTCATGCTATGAACAGCAACAGTGGGTCCCTTTTAGGGCAACACGGGTCTCTTTCAGCAGTCCCATGTGTCGCGGCGGCCGCATGTTCGCTCCGACGAAAATCTGGCGCCGCTGGCACCGCCGCATCAACGTCAACCAGAACCGCTACGCCGTCACCTCCGCCATCGCCGCCTCCGCCGTTCCCTCCCTTGTCCTGGCTCGCGGCCCCCGAATCGAGTCGGTGCCAGAGATTCCTCTCGTTGTTAGCGATTCAACTGAGGGAATCGAGAAGACCTCTTCGGCAATCAAAGCTCTGAAGCAGATCGGAGAAGACAGTACAGACGGGCGAGAGGGGGACCTCACCATCTCTCTCTCTCTTGAGGAGAATAAAGAAGAAAAGAGAAAACAAAACAGGGGGGGCTCTCTCTATCTCTCTCACTCTCTCGGCCTCCACTCTCTCTCACCCCGAAATTCTTCTTTGGAGCCATACATGAACTTCTCTATCTCTTTGCCTCTTCTCTCTCTCTTTATATTTCTGATTTTTGGTGAGACCAAACCCACAGCAACAGCAATGGTTCCAAAAAGCAGAGCATCAACAACTCACCAAAAACAGAGCATAAACACAAATTATAACTTGCAACTCAGGGACACAAACCGTCTTTGAAGAAGCTTGAAGATCAAGTGAACTCCATAGCCCAAAGAAGCTTAGATCTTGCAGGTTTTCGGTCCTGATTTTCATCCGTACCGGCGTGTATCGGACTGTATCGTCGTATGTATCGGATTCGGGCTGATACGTGTCGGGAATCGGCCGATACGGACGTGAAATCCAATCTCACCGGTATACCGGTGAGTATCCGACGCGGCCCTCCCATTTTCCGGTACGAATCGGCCGGTACGGAACGTACCGGCCGATATTTAGAACCTTGCATCTGACACTAATATTGAGTACTAACGTTGCCCTTAACAGTTCTATTGTAAAGACAAAATATAAAATGGCTGGCTAAAAAATTAACAGTCGACGCTAATAAACCTTTAACAGCTCTATTGTGGATGCTCTTAGAAGCGTAATGGATAAATTGAGGGATGGCAATGCTGGATGAAAGTTAGCATGAGCATCACTGACTGCCTGTGTAATTTTGTTCATGCTGAATCAAGGTTGGGTGCTTGGGGTTAAATTTTTAAGAGAATGTTATCAGTTCCACTGTCTTCGTAATAAATAGCTCCCTCGGGTACTTTGTCATGCATGTTGTACTTTTTTAGAGATAATGTTATTATATACTTTTTTAGAGATAATGTTATTAAGTTCCACTATGTTTGTAAGAAACAGCTCCCTGGGTAGTTTGTTATGTATGTTGTACTCTACTTGTTTTTCTGGTATTCAAAGAGGTTCCAAGGTACTGCTAGAGGGAGAAGGATGCCACCGGAATTAAAATGTGGATATAATTTAGAGTATGTATCTTTTTGCTTACCTATTTGAAATCTTATTCTAAAACGAAAGAGAACAAGAAAACCAAAACCAAAATAGTTTGTGATAGATGAGTGGATTTGAATCCCAGTACCCAACAACCTTGGTTCATTTTCAGAGGAATTCTATCTATTGCCCAAATGAACACTGGTTAAGGATAGTATTTGTATGAAGTCTATTGAAATTTAATATGTGAAAATTACGTAAAAATAAATTGAATTGTATGATATATTAGCAGTTGAGTTGACAAATGTGTAGTGTACGGAATAAATGTAAATTATTTTAAACTTTTAAGCTTTGTTATATATATTTTACAAGAACGATATTTTTTTTGTAAAATAATTCATTGATCTTAATTTTTAATATTTGACAGAAAATCCTTACAAAAATTCCAGCAAGGTGAAAGCAAAAAAAGTAATCATTGCAAGGCCGTGTTTAAATGATGGTGAATTCATCTCATTGCAATTTGCAAGTCCAATAAGGCAGTTTGAAACAAAATTAATAGTTTTAATGTGTTTAAGTTTAATTTATTTATATAATCATTTGAATTTGAACAAATTATTTTTTTCAACACTGCTACGTACCTCGAATTATCAACGGCTCGAATGGCGCAAAATTTCAAAACGACGTCGTTTTGGGATTTTTTTATTATCTTACCGGTAAGATTTATTCTCTTACCGGTAAGATAATTTTTATGTACTAGGTCTGAGCCATTCTCTTACCGGTAAGAATGTCAAAACGACGTCGTTTTGACATTCGAGGCATTCGAGCTTTCACGCATTCGAGGCCTCAATCTTTTTCCTATTTTTTTTAACACAATTTTGGGAGGAAAAATGAAGTATAGAAAGCTCTGAATTATGCAATAATGATACTTGAATATGGACATTCCATTTAATAGTGGGATACTTGGTGCTTTGGAAAGTAAGTTAAAAAATAATTTTTTGATTTTTTTTTTTGTTGAGTTTTTTTGAAAAAAAACGTATTAAAAAATAGAGAGGTAATGTGATTTTAAAAAGTTAAAAAGCTGACTTTTAACTAAAATAAGCCAAAGTTAATATTTGATCTTTACCTTGTCAACCATGTTGGATTACTTATTAAAAAACAAATAAAAAATTTTTTTGGTACTCATTAATTTAATAAAAAATACAACTAATACTTATATTTTTAATCTTTTTTTTCAAATTTTATACATTCTTTTTTCCTTCTAAATTTTGTACATTTCAAAGTCGATTAGAAAGTGCAAACATAAAAGAAAAATTTTAATCTTATAGACATCTGCATTTTAGGATTTGTAATGGAAGAAGAGGAGAAATTACCAATTACTCTGATACATATTTTCAAGACATAATAAGTAAATGGTTTTGTTGCCAACACAATCTAATGTCAAAGTAAACGTTTTTCTAATGGTTTTGTTCTGGTGTTCCTCAACCTCATGCAGTTTCTTTGTTTCTCTTCATCACAGTGAATGATACAAAGCATCCACTGTCCAATCACAAAATCAACCGCCTCTGATCCCTCATAAGTGGATCATCCGGGTTTTTATCTAGTTAATCTGAGTGCCGGTTGCAAATATTGATTTAGATTAGATTGGTGGAAAATGCATCAGCTGTAATTGGACGAGACCAATATAAACATCATTTGTATTGTGTGTCTCTCTTCATATAGGAGAATTAAAGATGACAATGACAGAATTTCATTTTCCTTGAAGAAAAATTGAATCATGGATTGTGAAGAAAGGGGGAGGGAAAAAGAAATCATAGAAAAAATAAGAAGAAAATGAGAGAAAAGTGTGAAATTATTTCATAAATTTCACTTCATTTTGTTTGCCTTGATACAGTGTTTAGAGCATTGGTATCTTTTGGGAAAAACATATCCATATTATTCAGTTGCACCATCCTCTCTAGTTGCAAACAGAAGAGCAATAGGTGTAGTTAATTAACATTTTCCTCCTCCATCAATTCCTTGTGAGAGGGTAAGAATGATTTAATACTGAAATCAAGTAGCCAACTAGTGTGAGACTAATATTTATTTATTACTAGTGATAATCCATGTTATGCACTACAGGCAAAAATATTGATAATATATTTTTATATAAAATAATATAAATAGTTAAATTTTTGTATGCAAATTATGAAAACAAAGAAGATTGAAATTTACAATTTAAGTTCTACAATTTTATCACAATTTATTTATTATTTTTTAATTTGTCACAAATTTAATCATGTAACTTTCAACCCCCTTGCTAGAATTGCAAAATTAGGTGAGGTCAATCTAAGCAACTTAAGTCGAGCTTAAAATTTTTTAAATATTGAACAACATTAAGTGAGAACTTATGCAGAAATTCAAAAATTCAAATTAAATTTGAGTGGACTTGGGTAGAAACACCAAGGTGCCGTTTGGTAACACTTACGTTTTCAGTTTTCTGTTTATATTTACAAAAATTTTAAAAACTCAAATAAAAACTTGTTTGGTAAAATTTTTGATTTATAAATCAGTGGTCTCAGTTTATAAATTTGGCCAAAAAATGAAAACACAAAAAATGTGTTTCCATTTTGAGTTTTCAGTTTTTTTTTTTTTTTACCACCCAACACTAGCCACCACCCGCCACCATTTTCCACCACCGTCTTCCGCCTCCACAATGCTCAAAGGCAAGAGTCCAATACAAGCCCCACTGATCAAGCGCAATTCTCCGAAGGAGGATATGAGGTTTAAAGCCTTTGAGAGGCTACCACAGGGCAGCCAGACTCACGTCTCTACATTCTCTCAGAACAATCAAAGGAGCATATCAATGGATGGGCCGTGGATTGATTCCTCGGTTTCTTCCTCAAGTAAGAATGAGGTTCCGAACCATTCTTCATCAAGCTAGTTTCTTCCAGATCATAATGATGTAAATTTACACTGATTACACCCTCTCTTCTTTCTTTCTTTTTTTGAAATAAACTTTATGCTATTTTTTTGTAAATGATAGTTATTGGTTTTAGATAGAGATGAAGCAATAAGGTATGAGGAAAATGTTCTGAAATTTCATTTCTGCAAAAGGGTTCCTTCTTGCATTCATGCACTTTCTGAAAATGGACTACAATTATGGGTTGGTTGTGAGGAACATCAACTAAAATTGGACTGGCCGACAAGAAAAAGGATATTCTTAGGGATAGCAAGGGGCTTAGCTTATCTTCACGAGGAATCAAGGTTGAAAATTGTTCATAGAGACATTAAGGCCACGAATGTGTTGCTTGATAAGGACCTGAATGCTAAGATATCTGACTTTGGTTTGGCCAAGCTTAATGAAGAAGAGAACACCCATATTAGCACGCGAATTGCTGGAACAATGTGAGTTTGTTTGCACCCTTTTCCCACTTCCATACATCTGAGTATATTTTAGATTAATAGTCATATGCTTGTTAGTTGAAATCAAGTAATATATAACTTTAGTTAACCATCACTAGCCTTTTCCCAGTGATGCAAGTAGAAACAGCTAATGTGTAAACCCCAGAATTTGGAGTATTGCTTAACTGATATTGTATTGGTAGTCTAAACAAAATTATATATATATATATATATATAAATATATAAATTATTTGCTAATTTATTTTTTAAAATAATGAATAAAATTAATTAAAAGTTTAATATTAATGAACAAAAGAAAAAGCAATATACTTACGATTTTCAATATAGTTTTTCTTGAAAATATCAAAAAACATACACATTTTAGAATGGGATCATCGAATAAAGGGTTGCTTGGGAAGTGCTCACTTTTTTTATCTTTTTATCTTTTTTAAGCCATATCACATATCTACTAATCTATATATCTTTTCGTAACAGGTAAAAAAGTATACTTAATTATCTTTTTTTGGTCAAATCATATCTCTACTTTTTTGTAAATATTTTCGTAAAAAGTAAAAAGGTATACTTATTTAGCACTTCCCAAACTATCACAAAGTTGATATTAAAAAAATTACTTTTTATAATGGAATAAATAATTTAAATATGAATTTTTAGAAATTTTTTAATTTAAAAATTACAATAAAATATTAAATAGAATAAAAATAAATTTCGTACAAAATAAAAGTATTTGAATAAAAAAAAGGTAAGAAGAAAATTTAATATGTTATTTTCATTTAATCTGAAAATAATTCTTTATGAACAATAAATTATCACCTATAAACCTCTTCTTTTTTTTTTAAATAAAAAAAAGTTTAACGAACTATCACTTTTAATAATAAAAAAATTAACATTTCTTTCTAATTTATTTTAACAAAAGTAACTTTTTAACAATTTGAGCTAAAGATATCTATATTCTTTATTTTAATTTTTTTTAATTGACAATTGAGATTAAAAGAAAAAATCTAACAAAATCCACCAAAAGTACTAAAAAAGTTATATTTGGTTCTTTTGTTTAAAAAAAAATTTATATTAAAAAATATTATTTTTCAAGTCCTTATAGTTTAGAAGGATATAATTTTTATTTTTATAAAGAAAAAAAATTTAATAGTGATTAATAATTTGAACACATGTATTTAAAAAAAAATTATATTTAGACCAATAATATTATGACACATCATTATGACACATGTAAATATTGATCTCATTCTAATTGTAGTAATATAATTTGCAAAAGAATTTAAATTTGAAATTTTATTTTATAATTTAATAAAGGATGCAAAATTTAAGGAATGAATATTAATCTCATTCCAATTATAACATAATTTAAGTAAGAATCCAAATTTGAAATTTTATTTTAAGAATATAAAACTAATTCATAGACCAATCATATTGTAATACGTACCAACAAAAAATTAAACAAAATAAAAAAAAATGAGAAAAAATAATTACAACTTTCAACCTTAATGAAATGACAATATTTTGCAATTATAATAGTATATAGATATATAGATAAATCATGGAATATATTATTAATTAAAACTTATATATTATGGGATAAATCATTATAATATTAAATTTAAATTAATGGAATGCTTTCCATATATAGTGCTCTCAAATTTAAATTTTGAAATAGATTAGTATACTTTCTATTTTTTATTTTATATATTTGATATACTTTTCATTTGAAAGTCATAAATTAAGAGACATTATTGTTATTATTATTATTTGGGAGATTTTTTTAAGGTCCCTAGTATTAAGATTTTATAGCATAAAGAATATTTAATATTTTCATAATGTTTAAGGTCCCTCAAGTTGATCCAGAGAAAATTCACGTCACAGAGAAAATTGGTTAAGAATTTCTCTGGACTTTCCAAATTTCTCTGACCTTCCCTAAACTTCCCACTGTAAATTTCTCTGCCCTCCATATACTTCCCACTCTCCCAGAGAAATTTCTCTACCTTTCCACAAAATTACATCTCCAGAGAAATTTTAAATTTCTCTGTCCTTCCTGCCTCTCCTGGACTCAACTCTCCAAAGAAAATTTGGAAATTTCTCTGGTTTTCCCTTCTTTCTAGAGAAATTTTCCTTCTCTGACCTTCAAAGAAATTTCCATCTCCAAAGAAAATTTCTCTAGCCTTCCTGGCCTACCATTCTCTCCAGAGAAACTTCCCTTCTCCAAACCCATTGAAATTCACTCAAACCAGAGAAATTCCCCCTCTCCAAACCCAGAGAAATTCTCCCTCACAATTTTTCGTGGTTGAAAATCATAATCCGGATTCTCAAGCAAGAAGGAAGAACACAAAAAACTATAAAAGACTCGCAAAAAGCATCCAAATACAAAAAATATCACAAAATATGATAAAACTCTCTTACTAGATCAAGAAAAACCCTTTGAAGGTCCATAATTTTGGCCTCATAACAGTTTTATGACATTATCTTTCTCTTTTCCTTCACAAAATCAAGATCCCAACACAGCCTAAACCCCTTTGAAATTTTCAAATCTCAAAAAGTCTTAATAAGCAAGGTTTGAATAGGAATTCACAAAACAACTAAAACATCTCAGCCACATAACTTGTATGCATAGATTTGCACTTTGCCTCTCTCTGAAAAAAAGAAATAATAAAAAAAAAAGCAAAACAAACCCAGATCTTTAAATTGTCTAACCTTCATTAACAATAATCACATGGACAAAATTCCGCAACAACACCACCAATCTCACCAACCACCAAACAAAAAAAGAAAAAAAAAGTACATGAATTTGAAAAAGAGAAACAAAATTAGAAGGTTTGATTGATGCATAGTAGTAGGGGGAGAGAGAGAGAGAGAGAGTAATATTTTTATCTGGTTCGGGTGTTACAGAGCAAGCAATCGAAGAGCCTAGAACAAGCATAGCGAAGACGCGGATAGAATCTACCCGTGTAGAGATTGGATTCCCTAAAGAGTTCATCCATGGTCTCTACGAATAGATTCAAGCTTCTTACTGGAGGCACGTACAGGGTCAGAGGCACTGCTGAGAATGCCACTGCTAGAAACAACTGTAACATCTCTACAGAGGCACTGCGAAAATGAATCACTCAGTGGGTGTGGCAGTGAATGAGAGTGAGAGTGGAGGCAACGGTTCATGGTTGATCGAATCAGAGAAAGAGAGAGAGAGAATGATGAAAGCCCTAGCCAGATGAAAGAAGAAAATGAGAAAGTGAATTTTCTCTGGAATATACAGGTGTAGGATCAAAGGATCTCAGACGTTATAAAATAATACTGTGGATCTCTTCCATTACAAAAAATGTGAGAGAGACCTTAAACTAATTTTTCCTTATTATTTTTTGAATGAGAGTTATAGAGGATTTTTTTTAATTATTTAAAATCAAAAAAATTAGAAATTTTAGTTTGAGATATTGGAACTCTCACAAAACTTGTGCTTAGAAAGCCCCTTTTACTTATATAATATACTAGCCTATCACCCGTGCTATGCACGGGATAATTATAGATTTTTATATTTGTTTAAATTTTTTTTAATATATAAATTATGTTTTTTAAGATTTTTTATAAAAATAATTTAACAATCTTATCACAAACCATAGTGTACAGGAGAAATTAAAAAGGCTACTACAGTAACTATACACGGGCTGTATCTATAATTATTTGTATGAAGAGATTTTAAATGCTAATCAAGGATTTTGACCAAATCAATAAATGCAAGCATGTGGATTGGAAAAAGTTAATAAATGTTGATTAGGGGATTTTGACCAAATCAATAAATGCTGAGGGTTTTTTTTTTTGAAATAAAAAATTTAGAAAATTAAGATTGAGAGATTGGAGCTCTCACAAGGCTTGGAGTTTAGAAATCCCATTTTTCTTAATATATTTACAATTATCTATATATGTGAATTGCGATTTTTAAATGTCTTTTTTTTTTAAATGTCTTCTTTTTTTTCTTTTTTATATTATATTAAAGTTCAATATTTTGATAATAATCATATGTGTTGGACTTTTCAAGATATTTTTTTTATGCTTGTTCTTAATACATTAAAGTGTTATTATGAGGGATAATAATCATATGTGTTGGGACTTTTCAAGGAATTCATGATTTTAGAAGGTTCGAGGAGGTTAAGAGGGCTTGTTGGCAACGGAAACGTGGAGAAAGATTATTGACTTTGAAAAATTGTTGACTAGTGAGAATAAAGATTTATCGAGAGAAAAGGAAAGAGTCATTTTACAAAATATTTTCACTTGTTTGTAATTAATATGCAAATTTTTGTCTCCAATATAATTAATCTTTATCCCAACAATATAATTATTTTTTTACGTCCATTTTTTAGGTAAATTTCCAAAATGAGTGAGTAAAAATAATGTATTGAATTATACTTATTCTAATACTAGACTATCACTCGTGCTACGCACGAGATAATTATAGATATTTATATTTGTTTTAGATTTTTTAATATATAAATTATGCTTTTAAGATTTTTTATAAAAATAATTTAACAATCTTATCACTAACCATAGTGTATGAGAAAAATTGAAAAGAGTACTGCAGTAACTATGTACGAGTTGTATCCATAATTATTTGTATGAGGGGATTTTAAATGCTGATCAAGGAATTTTGACTAAATCAATAAATGCAGACATGTGAAAAAAAATGTGGATTGTAAAAAGTTAATAAATGATAATTAGAGAATTTTGACTAAATTAATAAATGCTGATATTTTTTTTTTAATAAAAAATTTAGATCGGGATATTAGAGCTCCCACAAGGTTTGGGAGTTAGAAACCCATTTTTCTTTAATATATACTGGCCTATCACCCGTGCTATGCACGGGATAATTATAGATATTTTTATTTATTTTAGATTTTTTTTAATATATAAATTATGTTTTTTTAAGATTTTTTTATAAAAATAATATAACAATCTTATCACTAATCATAGTGTATGAGAGAAGTTGAAAAAAAT